GAGAAGTGCTCACTAACACAGATTTAGACAGATTTGTGAACAATATTTGAGAGAAATAGGCCTTTTGTGTACATAGAAAAAGTCTTAGATCTTTGAGTTCAGCTTATGAAAAATGGGGGCAAAAACAAAAGTGTTGCGTTTATAATTTTGTTCAGTGTATATATGCACATACATACAATATAATAGTCTTTACTGCCACTTTTGATCAATTTAATGCATCCTTGCTGAGTCAGTTACAAAATGTGTGTGTGTATATATATATATATATATATATATATATATATATATATATATATATTATTTTATATAAAAGTCTTTACTGCCACTTTTGATCAATTTAATGCATCCTTGCTGAGTCAGTTACAAAATGTGTGTGTGTATATATATATATATATATATATATATATACATACATATGTATAATTAATTATTTATATACCTTATGTTATATATATTATTCTGTTCATATGTGAGAACTATAAAGGCTGTTTTAGATAATGGGCTGGCAATTGCTTTCTTGCACTGAATCTGAAACTCTATTCTCTATCGATCAGCCTTTATTCAGTTAAAGGCCTTTTGCTGTCCCAGGGGCTGCAGTGCCCTTTCATCAGGGCTTTAGATGGTTAGCTAATGTGTGTCTGCTCATATGGTCATGCTGTAGGCCTCCCATCTATGATTATTTAATAACTTTGTATGGATGGGTGAGCAGCATGTGTGATACTATATCTTGCACTTCTGTCATAACATCCACAGCCTCAATTATTCATCCAAACCCATTTATAAGCTGTATACTGTTTGCACAACACAGTGCATTTATACTTTAAGCATTTTCCTTATCTTTTCATTCTCACACTTAGACTGAATTCATAATTGCACTCTGTCTTGATGAATTTCATCCAGGAAGAACTGAAAACAGAGATGCGCCCAGATTGAGGCTGATGTTATATCTCCGTGGCAACATTCCTTCCCCCCTCTGCTCTAGAAAAGCACTTAACCTCGGAACCCACCTACTTCCCTGTAAATAACCCTGCAGTCAACACAACCATTTTATTTCTAGCCAACTTCATGCTGTAGTCTATAACTGACTAATGCAATAGAGAAGAACACTATAAGCAATTTATACATTCATGCAAAGAAGTTAATGGCTAGTTCCATTAACATATATTTTGCACTGTGGTCTGCTAATGACTGTTTTAGTGAAGTATTGATTTCACTTAGCAGAACGACAGCTAATGCATACCATTTGCTTAGGGTACGTCTTTTAGTACAATGAAGCAAGAAAGAGCTACAGATGTGACATGATCTAACTCACTACTGTTTATTTTGCCATGTAAGCAACTGTCCACCTGCTGAGACACAGACAGAAATTAAATTAACTGTGATTATAATGCATGCTCTAATTAATTAACTTGATTTCCGACGAGGCAATTCCTGGCACTCAGAGCTTTACCTTTTTTATTTAGACATTGATCTTTTAATTTGCTTTAATTGATTAATTAAGTAATTCGTTTAATGCTATAATTTACCATAATATAATTATCTGTGATATAATAACTTAAGCATTTATTCTTAAAATGAATTTGAATGTTAAAAAAGCACCGGGAAAGGCGTGTCTTTCTTTTCTTTTTTTCTTTTTTCATTACCTAGTTAAGAGTAAGATAGGCTTTTCCTGCTTATTATAAACCCAATCCAAGTCATGAAGCGGGTTCATTAATCGTGGTTTGTGTTCTCTCTAGTGGCCATATTAATAACTGCATTTACACGCTATAACCACCAGGCTCTGCACACTAGGAATCACCTATGCTCATTTAATAAAGCCATATTTGGTTATATAACAGCTAAAGAGTCTCATGATTTTGGTTAACAAGGTATTCATAAATAATTTAATCATTTTCGGTTTTGTTTTTCACTTGTTGTAAACAGCTTTCTATAAGGGTCAGAAGAGGACGAAGGAACAATCTTTACCTACTTTTACCATATTTAATACCTAACACTTAATTTAGGGACATGCCATAAAAATTGCAAAAATGTAGCCATGTCTGATTTTGTTTTTGTAAAACCAGAGGCAAAAGATGAATTTCAGTATTTAATGTGAATTATATTTATGGTCTAATGATTTTGTTATTGTTTTAATTAACTGCGTCGTGGTTGTATTAAACTGAACCTGGAGACAGGAAATCACAATAAATACCCTTATAAATAATAAGAAAAGAACAGTCATAAACGGTTATATGTGGCGTGCCTGTATCATAATGGCCATAAGGACAATTTTGAGATACAATGCAATACGTCACGACGTAAAATACTGAATCGTTGATTTTCCCTCAGAACTCACAACTGATAACATCTCAGTGAGCGTTAAAATTAACTGTTCAAATCGTCAAGTTAATAATAACACAAGTGAGAGGAATTATTTTTACTCTCCTATCGTGCGACATTTTCGTGTAATTTATATGTAAATTGCATGCTTACCTGGCGCCAGTTTATTAATAAATCGCGCAGCTGCAGCGCCTAAGGTTAATCATTAGCAGGGCGCTTTACCTGAGGTGGACAAGTTCTGTTGTAGTTTTGTTGTCGATAGTAACTGGTGCAAACATATTCTAACTGTCTTTTTCTTGAATTTGGTCATTTAAATAGTTTCAGAACATGTGGTACCCTCAGCCTGTCGACGTCGTACCGTTCGTCATTGGGTCACATTCAATAACACATGAGGATCTTTCTGCCAGAGCCATGTGGCCAGTCATTCCCTTTGACCAACGTGCGTATAATGCAGTGAACGAGATTAATGGTAAGTTATATCGAGCCCAAAGAAGTCGGGTTGGGGTTGGTAATTTCTGAACGAGGCTTTAAACCTGGCGTATTTTGGGTAAATTAATACATAACGGTCCACTTTACCCTGTTAACGTTACCCTATTCAGAATAAATCGTGGGTTTACCAATTTTTCCTCCGTGCATGGAGTTTTCTTAATAAAAAAAAACACACAAAAAAAAAAAACATTAAATCGTAGTGCTTTGGATATGAACGTGTTTTCGTGTTTTGGTAGACCATGTAATAACGCTGAGCGATATATTTGGTCCTTTTTAACTTTCGAGCGCGCGGGCATTTAATTGAATGTGCAGTGCTTCCGGTGTCAACCGCTTCCAGTTATTTAAGCGGTACTAAAAAAAAACCTTAAGCTGCTTGATATTGCAAACCAGTATTTCTTATCATATTATTTAAATTTATCATCGTAATAATAAACACTGCTTTGTAGTGCAAATAGTTTAGCAGTTTAATGCACTTTATTTATTCTTCTATTTATTTCCCTAGAGCAGCTAATGAATCTAAAGTCTCGCATGTTCATAGAAAATAACGTTAGCTTACTTTCGCGTGGATATACCGTGTCGACAGTATAGTAGATAGCTATGAGATTTAGGTAACGTTATGTATGTAGCTCCATCGCTCGTTTTCGGCGCGCATGCTCTGTGTGGGGCGCGTCGTCGCGGTTGTGTGGTCAACGGTCAACAACTCAAGACTCGGTTAAAAGTTGGACTTGGCTAGCATTAGCATATTGATAATTTAGATATGTCATAAATGTAAGCTGGTAGAACAGAAAAAACATGTGAATCCATCAGATAATTAGTGTAATCAGACATGTATCATGTCTTTTTTTTACTCAGTGTTGCTGAATTTCTTGTGCATCTCTCAAGGCTTTTACAATGATCCACTGTACACTAATGATGGAAGGAAGTTTCTGTTGATGAGGTAAGCAAAGGTTTAACAAAACTCATTTGCTTCACACCTTCAGTAAAAAAATTCACAAACAATCTTTTACTCATACAAATCAGTGTGCTTGCATTAGATCAAATTTTAAGCACTGAACTGTATAATTTGAATTACCACTGCGCCTTGTTACTTTGAGGGAGACATTTGTGCATCTTGTATTGTAGGTCACTGTTCGAGCTTGTCTTGGCCAATGAATATCTGGAGCTCACAGATCCAAAGTTGCTTGGATGGTTCCTATGTTTAACAGCAGAGGACAGAACCTTAATTAAAAGTAAGGGCATATCAATTATAAAATGACCTTCAATTATTGAAAACGTATGAGCAGTAAGTAAAATGCGGGTTTAGAGGGAAATTGTGCTTTCTCATCCACAGAAGAGGGAGGGCTTCTGCCATTTTTACAGAAACACCCGGCACTTCAAGTAGACAGACAGTATGTTTATGTGAAATGTGAGTTCAGTTGGTAAAACATTACTAAGGCTGGATGTTTATTTGTCAGCAAGCATTCTGTATACTGTGTAAAATATATATTTTATAATTTAGCAAAAACCAGAGGAAACTGCATTCCCCCTCCAACAACTATGTCATCAAATAAGTAAGTTTTTAATTTTTTTAAATTATATTTGAATTTTTTGTTACCGTTCAGTTTTATCATCATGCTTTATTAATGATACATTTTATAAATGGTGCTATGAATGCACCGATATTGAAGTCGGCATGAAATGAATGATCATTTCTGTTGGCCTGGTAATCTTTAAACAAAATGTCATCCATAGGCGGAGCGTGTGTAAGGCTGGGGAAGCCTTCCCCTGGCCACGGGGACTTGGGGCAAAAAATAATAATAATAATTTATGCATTTAGCAGACGCTTTTATCCCAAGCGACTTACAGTGCATTCAAGCTATACATTTTTTTACCAGTATGTTAAAAAAATGCCACTAAATTGGACAAAAGTGCCCCTGCACAAACAAATTAAATCTAGTCTGTTGCTAACAAAGTGAATATGAATAGACAGTGTCGATTGCGAAATTAAATTAAGATCTGCTCATGTTGCACCGTATTTCATTTTAGGCTTTTTTACTGTGTTGCGCATTTTAACCAATCACACACAATTCTGTTGAGCTTAGGAATGCAGTAGCCAGTCAGAGATGTTCAGATCTTCGCTGAAACTCATCAGTTTTGTTGAATGCGTGCGCGTTCGCTGACTGTTTGAATAACAGTGGAAAGGAAACGTTATATAATTATCAATTTCTAATGTTTTTATTAAATTGTAATCACGTTAAATACAAATTCAGTCCCATTAAACATATATTTTTTTAGCTTACATGACAACCATGTCTGGTTCTTGCCTAAAAAGACGGGTTTATGGATGTTTAATACATTTGGCTGCTTTTAGCTTTACCCTGGAGTTGGTTCACCCTCTGCCTATGATGTCATCATAACTCGATCTTCTGGTGAAAGTGTCTCCGTTAACTTCTCAAATTATTTAGTCTCATTAAACTTGCTGCTTACATTTGAGCAAGCATGCTCACATTCAGATCTCCGTCTATTCAATCACCAACCAAGTTCCACCATACATTTTGTCTTTTTTTTATAACCCTTTCCTCTCAGATCTATCTCGCAATATGGAAGAAAAGAGCTATTGCTATATGTTTTATTGCAACTTTAAATTTCTGCCTAATATTGATAAGACAATAATTATTTTCATGTTATGTCTGATAGCCAATAATAGCCAATATAAACGTTCTGTATTTTGTCCAAATTAACAATTGGTCGTTAAAAACAAATTTTGGTCATTTTAAATGTTACAAGTGAATTTATGTATCACAGCATTATAATGTACAGTATGATAGTCTTTTTGAGATTTGCTTAATATTACATTTAACAGTGTTATTTAATGAATGTTTTAAAAGATTAAAGGGTTAGTTCACCCAAAAATGAAAATTAGCCCATAAATTACTCACCCTCAAGTCATCCTAGGTGTATATGACTTTCTTCTTTCAGACGAATCCAGTCGGGAGTTATATTAAAAATTGTCTTTGATCTTTCCAGCTGTTTTATGGCACTCAGCGGGTGTTGCATGCATCAGTCCAAAAGCA